AAATTGTAGCTGCTGGCCTGCGTGCAGTCTCTCGGCGGTAGGTGCGAGCACTCTCGTGCTCCGGAAAAGAAGCGCGTGTTGTGTTGAGCACAACGGCATTTTTTCTCACGTGGGTGTATTTGCCAACAACCTGCCCTGACATGTCACAATTCCCTCGTCTCTTGCAAAATTTGTCGCCCAGGACGAGTCAAATCGGCTGGGGGGAAAGAGTCAGAGACTGCAAGGAAGGGGAAACGGCCTCAACGCACCGCGGGGGGGGGCGGCGCAGGTGCCGCGGGGCTGGGCGGCGGAGGCGCCGCGGGGGGGGGGCGGCGGAGGTGCCACGTGGGGAGGCGGCGGAGGTGCCGCGGGGGACGGCACAGGTAGTGTGGCCAAAAAAGTCCGGGTGTCCAAGCCCGGACGGGACACCGGCAAAAACAAGTTATCGATGACGCAGCGATTGCAGATTGTCAAGGAGGTCCAGGGGGAGGGCAAGAGGAGCATGGTTGCTGCAAAGCGGAACGTCGGTACTTCGTACATCAGCAAGTTGATGAACCCGTAGCAAATCGCTGAGCTTGAGAAAGTCCCCGTAACGGAGCTCAACCAGGACGCCCTTCGCGCCCCGAAGCCGGTACTCGACGAAGTGGAAGAGAAACTACGCAAGTGGATCAAGATCGCACGAGCACGCTTTAACGTAGGTACATATTTTGCGTTAGTCATGTGTTGGTCAGGATACAACTTGGTTGTCTATACGCTTACACTCTTCCGCCCCTACGCCTCCTCCCACCCTCGACCACGCTGCTGGGTTGGGGGTTCGACAAGCTCTAGTCCACCTGTTTCAAGCTGGCCGACTGAACGCACAACCAATTCAAGGGAGAGTTGATCGAAACCATGTCGTTGCTGTTTTATTAATGTCTTTCCCGACGCAGGCAACCAAGATTGGCGTGAGTGGTTCGATGATCCAGGCCCACGCCTTGAAGATCGCGGCGCAGATGGGGAAGACCAACTTCAAGGCGACCAACGGCTGGCTACATCGCTTACTGAAACGCTACAGCTTCACTCANTTCCGCCCCTACACCTCCTCCCACTCTCGACCAAGCTGCTGGGTTGGGGGTTCGACAAGCTCTAGTCCACCTGTTTCAAGCTGGCCGACTGAACGCACAACCAATTCAAGGGAGAGTTGATCGAAACCATGTCGTTGCTGTTTTATTAATGTCTTTCCCGACGCAGGCAACCAAGATTGGCGTGAGTGGTTCGATGATCCAGGCCCACGCCTTGAAGATCGCGGCGCAGATGGGGAAGACCAACTTCAAGGCGACCAACGGCTGGCTACATCGCTTACTGAAACGCTACAGCTTCACTCACGTCCAATTGCACGGAGAAGCTGGCGACGTGGACAAGCAGAAGGTGGCAGAGGAGATCGAGAGGATTCGTGAGCAGCTGCAGGAGTTCGGCGTCGAGTTCATTTTTATCATGAACGAGACGGGACTTTTCTTCCGCTGCTTCCCGAGAGGTACATAAGTCACGAGGGGGGAGGCCGCCGCCGGCGTCAACAGCAAAACCGCGCGGGGTTCGAAGGCCATGAAGGCCAAGGATCGGTGCACGGTGGTCGCCTGCTGCAATGCGACCGGATCTCTGATGGTGCCGAGGGCCGTCATCAGCACGTCGAAAAACCGATGGTTTTCCGCCACGTGTCCCTACTTCGCCCAGGAGAGTGCCGGGCTCGACGCAGCCATTTGCCAGTGGTGGTTTGACGAAGTCTTTGTCCCTTCGTCAAACGCAAGACCTCCAAGAAGGTGGCCCTCTTGTGGGACAACTTTCCCGGCCACAAGATCAAAAGCAACGACCCGCAGATCGTCATCATCTTCTTGCCTCCGAACGTCACTTCTGTCTACCAGCTCATGGACATGGGCATCCTGTTTGTACTCAAGTGCCAGTACAAGACCGAGGTGGTGGCAAGGCTGGCAGACCTCATCGAGGACTGGGACACCGTCCGTGCACGAAAAATCCAAAGGTGATTTCAAAACAACAATGTAGGGGCGCTCTTTGTTACCGTCGTCGCAGGTCTGGCGAAGGCTCTGAAAATGGTGTTCTTTCAACTTTTTGTCGAGCTGGTTTTAACATGATAAATAGCCCTTTCATCCGTCCCTGTGTTCCGTTTCGGCAGAGGGTGCCGGGGCCTCAGCGATGCAGGACAGGCGACAATGCTGGACGTCACGGAGATCTGTTCCCAGAAGTGGCGTAGCTTCGACTTTCAGACGGTCATCAGGTGCTGGCTCAAGGCTGGCATCCTCCCCAGGGAGCACTGCAACGTTCTCAGGGGCATGGACACGCGGCTTGACCGAGAGGACAAGGACGAAGCGGCAATCATCGACGGCCTTTGTGACATGGTCTCAAAAATGTCGATGCCAGCTAGCGTAACGGACTAAAGGTCCATGCCGCGAGTGTTGACAGGCGATTTGTTTGTCGAGAAGGGGCACAGACCTCACAGAGCAGGAAGTCCGAACGGCGGTCAAGACGTGGCTTACCGTAGAGGACGACCCCGAGGTGTTAGAAGAGGAGGTGGAGTTGGAACTGCAGGCAGTAGAGAGGGATCTCGCCGGCTTAGAAATGGACGACGACGAATCGAGCGAAGAGGGCGACGGCGACGGCAGGCCGGAGTCGTGCATAACCTGGTTCCTCACCGGGGGCGAGGTCACTCTCGCTTGGAGGACGTTCGATCCTACTTGTACGCGAAGGGAAGGGTTGGCGAGTACCGTGAGACGCAGTACCTTCTTTCGAAGACCGTTCATTCGTTTACTCATGAAACTCAACAGAGCCGTAGAGCCAAGCCGCGGGGGGAGGTTCAGGGAACTCTTCGCGATATGTGGAGGGAAAAGCCGTCAGGGTAGCTTGGTCTCCGCCGGGACAGTTATATGTACTGGTGTTCCTCGGTGCGACGCTGAAACACCCTCGTTTTTTTGTGTTTCACGAAAATGAGATAAATATACTTCTACTTGGACTTTCCTCCTTCTTCCGCTGCCAGCGAAGCAGTACATTAGTTGGCCAAGTTCAAACGTGTGTACTGTGCGTAGTTGTGTTCAACACGTCCCCGACTGCTGTACATCTCATTCTAAGTATTGTAAATATGTTCGACGTCAACAAACGGTTGCCATTCGTCTCGGCGATGCTGACTTTTCGTACCACACCCTTCCTTATCAAAAGACGCGTAGTTTGAGGTATAGCATGCCTTCATTGATCCCGGGGATGGTGAGCTATCGTCCCCTGAATTT